GTTGTGATCCTAAACGTGTTCACACCCAGAAGTGCAGTGTGAATGGTTGTGTTGGCTTTTTATTCTTATGGTTTTTTTTATTGTAATGGGTCAGTGATATTACCTTTATATTTCCCTGTGGGCTACAGTTAAGGAACTTTCTGTAGAGCAAAACTGAACATGGAGACATATAGACACAGACACACACACACACACAACCACCTGGGAGGTCTCCTAAACAAACAAGATTCTAGTTTGGGTTTCAGAGAGCAATTTGTATATCTTGTGAAAGATTCTGAGTCTTTCGTACTTCTACTTTAGTAAGATTTATAGGTCTGACATGTATACAGGATGTGACCTTTCAGGTATGTGGAGAAATATATTCTGTTGCTTAGTGTGGAGCCAACATTCTTTAATCCTGTGTAAACAGTGCTCAAGAAGAAAGCCAAGTAGTAAGCCACGCCTGGTGGCACAGTTCTGTAATCCCATCTATTAGGGAGGTCAAGATAAAAATGTGTCTCAATTACAGAATGAGGTCAACAATGCCAGCCTGGACAACTGAGTAAACACTGCTTCAAAACTTCAAAAAAAGTTAAAAACGGTATGGTGGCACATGTCTTTAACCCTAGCATTTGGGAGACAGAGGCAGTCAGATCTCTTGAGGCTAGCCAGTCTACTTAGAGAATTCCAGACCAGTTAGAACTATGTAGTTAAGACCCCGCCTTAAACACACACACACACACACACACACACACACACACACAGAGAGAGGAGAGAGAGAGAGAGAGAGAGAGAGAGAGAGAGAGAGAGAGAGAGAGAGAGAGAGAAGGGCTAGGCTTGTAACTTGGTGGTAGAGAACTGTCCTCTGTGTGAGGCCCCATATTCAATCTCTAGTAACCTCCCTTTCCCCACAAAAAAGGATACTAGAGTAAATTGGGCATGGCAGCATATACCTGTAATGCCATACTCTGGAGGCTAAGGCAGGAGGATCACAAGTTCATATTCAGCCTGGACTATATAGTAAATTCCAGGCCAGCTTGGGGTATATAGCTAAACCTGGTCTCAAAAAATAATAGTAAGCTGGGCATGGTGACTCACACCTTTAATCCCAGCACTTAGGAGGCAGAGACATGTGGATCTCTGTGAGTTTGAGGCCACCCTGGTCTACATAGTGAGTTCCAGGACATCCAGGGCTACGTAGAGAGAACCTATTTAAAATAATTTAATAATAATAACAACAACAACAACAATGGTAAAGCTGTTTGATAAATAGTTTATTTTTGTAAAGTGAGGATATTGTACAGTATCAATGGAAGACAGAGTGTAGCCTGTCCACTGCTGCCGGTGCCTAAGAGTAAGAGAAGCATTCAGCCTAGACAGGAGCAGAGTTCCCCCCACAGAGAGATTGGTGCTGGAAGCCAACCTTCTCTGAGTAATTTGCCCTGCTAGAGATCTGTGTCGGATCCGAAGGGCCCTTTCTCAATCCTTTTTTCCCGGGCAGTCCGTAGATCCCTGAAAAACGGGGAGTGACTTCTTGGTTTGGGGAGTTGTACGATAGGACTCTGTAGCCAGGGACTCGGCACTTTGGGCAGCACACTCTGCAGAGAAATAGTAACATACAGTCTCGAGTGAGAAAACAGACCAATCTACCCAGGTCATTAGAGTAGCTAGAAGCTATTCAATTCAACAAGAAGCTAGAAGCCCCTCTCCCTTGACTCTGGCCAGCCCAGTGTGGAGAAGAGGCCTAGACTGCTCAGTTAACAAAGTTTGGCCATTTGCATGGCAATCTGAAGGGCTTGCTTGCTTACTTACCATTCTTTGTTTGATCCCTGGTATCCACAGAGTGGAAAGAGAGTACTGAATCCTGCAAATGGTCCTCTGATTTCTACATGCCTGCTTGTCCTGGCTAGTTTTATGTCAACTTAACACGAGCTAATCATCTGAGAGGAGGGAAGTCAATGGAGAAAACGCCTTCATAAGACTGGTCTGACTCGAGCTCATGGGAGCTCATGGATAGCTAGGGAGCCTGCGTGGGACCAACCTAGGCCCTCTGCATGTGGGTGACAGTTGTGTAGCTTGGTCTGTTTGTGAGGCCCCTAGCAGCAGGACCACGATCTGTCCCTGGCACATGAGCTGGCTTTTTGGAACCTATTCTCTAGGGTGGGTTGCCTGGTTCAACCTTGATGCAGTGGGGGAGGGGCTTGGTCCTGCCTCAACTTGATATGCCATGCTTTGTTGACTCCCATGGGAGGCCTGCCCCTTTCTGAGGAGTGGGGGTAGAAAGGAGGTCGGGGGGAGGGAACGGGAGGAGAGGAAAGAGGGGAAACTGTCATTGGTAAGTAAATTTTAAAAAAAAAGTTTGGGCTGTCTCTTAATGAACAGTTTTGAAACTATAAGCAATGAGCCTTCATGTAATGTATTTGCACATGTGAGAATTTTTTTTTTGAGACAGGGTCTTATTATTTTGCTTAGGTGGGTCTAGAACCTGTGGACTCATGTGATCTTCTTTCTTCAGCCTCCCAAGTAATTGAAACTACATAGAAATGAATGTTTATGTTTTTGTTCTTTGTTTAAGATATATTTTCTTATTTATGTGTATGTCTGTGTAACTATGCGTGTATTTGTGATGAAAGTCTTATTTTGCCTGATTTCCTTCTCCCTAGTCCCATTCACAAAAATGTTACAGAGCTGGGTGGGGGAGCTCTTGCCTGAGAAGGCTGAGTGAGGTGCAAGGATCACCATGAATCTGGGGCCAGCCTGGCTACCCAGTGGGTTCCAAGCCGATCCGGGCTGTAGAGTAAGAACCTGTCTCACAGCAACAACCTCCCCAGTAAATTCAGGCCATCATTTCAAGTCACTCGGTGATAGACACATATGGCAAGAGTTATTAATAGCCGCTTCTGTAGTGAGAACTGAGTAGAGCCACAGGAAAGGTGATGGAAGTAAAGATAAGTCAGATCCCAAAAGGCAACTCCCAGCTACGGGGGGAAATGAGAAGACAGAGATAGCGGCTGGACTCTTTATTTAAGGAAATCACAACGGGTTCAAAAAAGAAAAGGATGAGGTCACAGGAAAGACTGGGAGGGGAAGATATCTGACAAACTTAGAGTCTTCCAGTAGCTAAGCACAGGATCCTCAGCCATGCAGGCGGAGAAGCCCGGTATAGCCCCGAGTCCACTTCCGCTTGGTCCTCTCTCACCTGGAAAGCACTTTTTGAAAAGGTAATTCATTCTCCAGTGTCCAGTATGACCTGCACTTTGTCTGCATCTATCCAGGGGACCTAATGCCAGGATTCTTCCAGCACTCTCGGCCTTTAGGTCACTTAGGAAGGAAGATCTCAGGGATGGGGGTTGGGGGTGTGGCAGGGTGTGGCCCAGTGCTTGCTGTGAAAGTGCGCTGACCTGAGTTTGGATCCTCACCACCCACAAAACAAGCCAGGCCTGTAGGCCCAGCACTGGGGAGGGCAAGGAAGGAGGATCCCTGGAGCTTACTAACCAGTCAGTCTACCCAAGCCCTGAGCTCCAGATTCAGTGAGAGATCTTATCTCAAAAAGTAAGATGTCGATCAAGGGCAATGCCGAACACTGACCTCTGACCTACACATGCACACACACACACTTTAAAAAAGAAGGGACCTGGAGAGGTGGCCCAGTCATTAAAAGCACTAACTGTTCTTTCAGAGGACCCAGGTTCAAATCCCAGCACCCTAGCTATAACCTGGCAGCTCACAACTAGCTGTAACTCCAGTTCCAAGGGGGATCTGATGCCCTCTTCTAAACATGTGTGGTACATAGACATACATACAGGTAAAACACCCATACACATAAAATAAATCTCAAAAAATATTTTAAATTAAAATTTAAAAAGCAGTAACAGTGGTTGTTAAAGGGGAAGGCTGTTCCTCCTGAGGCCTCTTCTTCCAGCCCCTGCAGCCTTGTGCTAAGGCACAAAACTTGGCATGCTCTGGTTGCTTTAAGCCCCCACTCCTCTGTGCCGAGCAGTCCCTTTACAACCTTTCATGATGGCTTTGTCTGATATGGTCCTCTATTAGTTTGTCACAGTAACTTTCTCCTTGCTGTGACAAAAATACCTGAAAAGAAGCAACGTTAGCCGGGCGGTGGTGGCGCACGCCTTTAATCCCAGCACTCGGGAGGCAGAGCCAGGCAGATCTCTGTGAGTTCGAGGCCAGCCTGGTCTACAAAGTGAGTTCCAGGAAAGGCGCAAAGCTACACAGAGAAACCCTGTCTCGAAAAAACCAAAAAAAAAAAAAAACAGGAAGCAACGTTAGGGAGGAGGGGCTTATGTGGATTTACAGTTCAGTCCATCGCGGTAGGGAAGGCATGCTTGCAAGAGCAGGGAGCAGCCCATCACACTTGGTCACAGCAGGCACCAGAGAATAAAGGCTGCTGTGGGGAGCACCTGCTTTTCCCCCTAACCCAATCCGGGCCCCCACCCCTTGGATGGTACCGCCCACAGTTAGAGTGGGTCTTCCTACTTCAACCTAATCTAAACAATCCCTCCCAGCTGTGCCCAGAGATACAGTGTTCACAATCAGTGTTAACCATCACAGGCCCATCACTTAAGCTTCCAGGGGTGTATGTAAAAGTCATTTAAACTATCTAATTCCCGCTGCCATCCTGCTCCAATCAAGAATTCTGTTCTGCTAGGCATGGTGGTACACACACATGTCACACATACACACACATGAATGCATGCAGAAGCAGAGCCTGCTGAGGGCTGGAGAGAAGGCTTAGTGGTTAAGGAATGTTTACTGCCTGATCAGAGGACCAGAGATAGGATTCCACAAACAATTGTAACTCCAGCTCCTAGGGATTCGGCACTCCCTTCTGGTCTCTGTGGACACACACACACCCTTAAAAAAAAAAAAAAAAAGGAGGCAGAGCCAGGCGGATCTCTGTGAGTTCGAGGCCAGTCTGGACTACCAAGTGAGTTCGAGGAAAGGCGCAAAGCTACACAGAGAAACCCTGTCTCGAAAAACCAAAAAAAAAAAAAAAAAAAAAGCCAAAACCTTGAAAAACAGAAGGAAGAAGAACAAACAATCTACTGGATATGTTTGCAATCTCAGATGGAGGCAAGAAGACCTGGAGATTGAGGCCAGGCTGGACTATGTAGCAAAACACTGACAAACGTCCTTTTCAGACAAAGAATATTAAGGGTCTCCCACCTGTAATCGCAGCCTTCCAAGAGCTGGGATTACAGGCATGAACTACCATATCCCGTAAGGATTTGTAATTGAGGAAGGAGAGAGAAATGAAATGGAGAAAGGCTTAACAATGAAGTGGTATCCCCCCGAAGGATTTCTCTGTGTAATAGCTCTGGCTGTCCTGGAACTCTCTTGGTAGACCAGGATAGCTCACAGTGATCAGCCTGCCTCTGCCACCGGAGTGCTGGCATTAAAGGAGTGCGCCACCACCGCCTGGCCAACAATGAAGTTTTCTGCAGTGAAGAGAACCAGTAAGAACTGTGATTCACATAGAATATCAAACTTGGCCTTCATGCATTCTGCCCGGAAACGGCCGAGGAACAAAAATTCCTGCCACAAAACTGACTGGAGGAAGCAGCGCGTGGTGATGCAGGCCTTTAATACCAGCACTCCGGAGGTAGAGGCAGGGGGATCTCTGTGAGCTCGAGGCCAGCCCCGGTCTATGTAGCAAGTTCTAGGACTACATAGCTAGAGTCAAGTAGAGAGATCCTGTCACAACAACAACAACAACAACAACAACAACAACAAAACCAAACAAAAACAAAAACAAGCAAAAAAGAGGAATGAAGTTGTTTTCTTCTGGAATGCCTCGCGCCTTGTTTTCTTACACTGCTCGGTCCACAAGGAATCGTTATTTGGTAGAGATTTTTGCCTTTCCAGTGTGTACCACCTAGTTAAAAGAAGGTGACTAACCCGGCCAGCGGAAGGACCCAGGAGGACGGTGGGCGTGGCCTAACCAGGGGGCGGCTGGGAGGTGCGCCCCCTTCCCAGAAAGCACCGCGGCTGCAGGCGCGCGGCTCCGGTCCGGCTTCCCCGGCTTCCGTACCGCCCCGCCATGGATGCGCTTCGGGACAGCGCCGCGCTGCTGAGGCGCGGGCGGGGGAGGCGCCGGCGCCCGCCGCAGCTCCGCGGCGGCTCGGTCTTGGCCCTGCCCTTGCGGCCCCGCAAGCTCCGAAGGCCCCGGAGAAGTGCGGCGGCGTCCCGCGTGGCCGCGCTGAGGGCTCGCGCGCTGCCCAGCGAGGCCTCGGACGCCAAGGCGGAGCCGGCGGCGGCGGCGGCGGGCGAGCGGGAGGGGCCTGCCGAGCGGCGGGAGACCTCGCGGTCGGGGGAGCCGCGGCCGCGGCCGCTGCCGGTGCGCCCGAGGCCGGCTTCGGAGGCCGCCCCGCCGCGCCGCGTGGAGGGGCGGCGGGCCGCACTCTCCCGCCACCCGGGGGCCCCGGTTCCGCCGCCGGGCCCGCCCGGGGACCACCCGGAGCGGCCCTGGGACTCGCCGCTGCAGGAGGTGCTGGCGGAGCTGAACGGCATCCCCAGCAGCCGGAGGCGCGCCGCCCGCCTCTTCGAGTGGCTCCTGGCGCCCATGCCTCCGGACCACTTCTACCGGCGCCTGTGGGAGCGGGAGGCGGTGCTGGTGCGGCGGCAGGACCAGGGCTACTACGAGGGCCTCTTCTCCACGGCCGACCTGGACTCGATGCTGCGCTCCGAGGACGTGCACTTCGGGCAGCACCTGGACGCCGCGCGCTACATCGACGGGAGGCGGGAGACCTTGAACCCACCGGGCCGCGCTCTTCCCGCCGCCGCCTGGTCCCTGTACCGGGCCGGCTGCTCCTTGCGCCTTCTCTGCCCTCAGGCTTTCTCCCCCACCGTGTGGCAGTTTTTGGCTGTGCTCCAGGAACAGTTTGGAAGCATGGCAGGCTCCAACGTTTACCTCACGCCCCCCAACTCACAGGGCTTTGCTCCCCACTACGACGACATCGAGGCTTTCGTGTTGCAGCTGGAAGGTCGCAAACTCTGGCGAGTCTACCGACCGCGGGACCCAAGTGAGGAGCTCGCCCTGACATCTAGCCCCAACTTCAGCCAGGAGGACCTTGGTGAGCCGGTGTTACAGACGGTGCTGGAACCTGGAGACCTGCTGTATTTTCCTCGGGGCTTCATTCATCAAGCTGAATGTCAGGATGGAGTCCACTCTCTGCACCTCACCTTGTCCACCTACCAGCGCAATACTTGGGGTGACTTCCTGGAGGCCGTACTGCCCTTGGCAGTGCAAGCAGCAATAGAAGAAAATGTGGAGTTTCGCAGGGGTCTGCCTCGAGACTTCATGGATTACATGGGGGCCCAGCATTCAGACTCGAAGGATCCGAGAAGAACAGCTTTCATGGAAAAGGTGCGGGTCTTGGTTGCTCGCCTGGGACACTTCGCGCCTGTTGATGCTGTGGCTGACCAGAGAGCCAAAGACTTCATCCACGATTCCCTGCCCCCTGTGTTGACCGATAGGGAAAGGGCACTGAGTGTCCATGGGCTCCCGATTCGCTGGGAGGCTGGAGAACCTGTAAATGTGGGGGCCCAGTTGACAACAGAAACAGAAGTCCATATGCTTCAGGACGGCATAGCTCGGCTGGTGGGCGAGGGCGGCAGTTTGTTCCTCTATTACACGGTGGAAAACTCTCGTGTTTATCATCTGGAGGAACCCAAGTGCCTGGAAATCTGCCCTCAGCAGGCTGATGCCATGGAACTCTTGCTTCGCTCCTACCCAGAGTTTGTGAGAGTAGGGGATCTACCCTGTGACAGTGTGGAAGACCAGCTTTCCTTGGCAACCATGTTGTATGATAAGGGGCTGCTGCTCACCAAGACGCCTCTGGTTCTGAGTTAGTTTCTTGAGGATGGCTGCAGAGGGTGCAGTCGTGATGCTCCACTACCACTGCCACCGTTTTTTTTTTTTTTTCCCCTTAAAAGAAGTCATGTTCTTACCTTGCTAAGCGTCAGTGTGGTTATGTTTACCTTTATGGCTGTTTCAATGTCACAGAGCTCAGACTTTCTTCTGGGAGGAATCTCTTCATCTAGGTACAAAAGGAAACAGAAATTGGAGCAGAGGAGGTTAAGCTATTTCTGCAGAAGTAACAATCCCTATCATTTGAGAGCACCAGCTGCATTCCCTGCAGGCTTCAGTGTATGGTATGGTATGGCCTTGGCCGTGCCATTCTGCTTGAGACATGAGGGATTTTTATATGGAAGTTGCTTCTTTGTGTTTTTTCTTCAGTTTGTGCTTCGGGATGGGGTCAGTATGCTGTGTGTTAAGTTTGTATGAACATTAGAAGATTTATTAAAAAGTGCCAAAGACCGTTTCTCTTTTCTAAGCCTAGATTTTTTTGGGTTGGTTTGAAAAATGTGAGACAAGGAATAAGATAAGGAAGATTTGGCTGAGATGAAAGGCAACGTGATATATGATATCAAAGGAGTATATTAACTTTTTTAAAGGCGAGAGCTGGGTAGAGCAAGTGTATGCCTGGCATGCGCAATGCCTTGGGTTCATTCCCAGCATCATACTCATTAAAGAAGAGAAGCCTCGCCGGGCGGTGGTGGCGCATGCCTTTAATCCCAGCACTGGGAGGCAGAGCCAGGCGGATCTCTGTGAGTTCAAGGCCAGCCTGGGCTACCAAATGAGTTCCAGGAAAAGGCGCAAAGCTACACAGAGAAACCCTGTCTCGAAAAACCAAAAAAAAAGAAGAGAAGCCTTTCTGGTTGGGGCCATGTTGTTAGCTTTAGAGGTAACTTACTCATTTGAGTTAATCTACTTGAACTCCAAACAGGATAATCCTAACGGAGAAGCTTCCATTACCAGAGTCAGCTTTGAAGTATACATTGTATTTGCTCAGTGCTTGGTGTAAATCAGTGATTGGCTGGCACGGCTCCCAAAAGGACAGTGTCATGCATGTCACCTGGTTATGTGTTCACAGGCTTTAGTCATCCAACTTTTAGCAAGCTGGCCACAGGGAAGATTGGTGTTCAAGTTACTTTCCACTCATTTGTTTTCCCCTAGCAGTTGGATGAAACTTCCCCAAATCTGGCAAGTGCCTATTCTCACGATTGGTGGAAGAGAGCCTGGTGCACCAGAAAGAGCACTTGGAACCAGAAGACCCGGGTTTGGGGTGGTGGCTGGTAGGCAACCGGCCGAATGACCTGAGGCTGCTGCTTACAGATTTTGTAAGTATATTTTGGTATAGTTCCACTTCTGAACCCTCATCATTTAGAGTGTATCTAGACCTCTTAAGATCCTGTCATCGTAACTGATTGGTTTGGTTTTTAAGGTTGACAACTTTCAGAAGTTATTTTTTTTCCCTTAAGTTAGAACATAAAATGATTGCTCTTCTTTCAGGTGTACTTTCCAGAGATGACCATCTTTTATAAGATGGAATGTAAGGTCTTTTGGGGTGCTTAATCAAACATACATAGTAGTTACTTGTTTTTCCAAAGACTTGTGCTTTTCTAGTATGTCCTTTTTAAATCAGTTCAGATAGAGCTACCTTTTAAGTGGCACACAATTGCAGATGGACGAAAACCTGGGGAAGGGAGAAGGGTTAAGTAGCCTTCCTGACCTAAGTCATACAGGCCTCCTACGAAGTTCCCCCATGTCTAGGTCCTGGGATAGTCTGGTGTGAGAGTCAAGGGATGGGCTCACCCAAAAGAAACCTACTGTCAAAAACTTCTTGAAGAAAGGTTTCAAGTTCCAGTGGGCTTTGGCCCTCTCTGGGTGGTGAGTAGACGTGTCTCGCTTTTCTCTTCACATTTTTTATGGCTACTTCCATCTTCAATATTTTCTCCGTCAGCAAGTCCTTTTGATTTAGTGTTCCAATCTGAGGGGAAAAATGTTAAAGCAAGCAACCAACTGTATTGGAGGAAAAAGCATTAAAATAATTTGATTATATCAAGCGTGGGGGTTGGGAGGCTGAGGCAAGAAGATCCCAACTTTAAGGTCATTTTTGAGCTACATAGTAAAGCTCAACCAAACATAAACAAAGATAAAGTAATTAACTATCATGCTTATTAGTGAAACTTGGAGCCCTGGGTTTCTTCTTGAAAACAGTTTGTACTTATTTACCTTCTTCTTGATCTCCTGAAGCATTTCTTGATTGCCTTCCTTTTCTAAGTTGAGTGCTGTCATTGTCTGGTAAATTTCCCTGAAAGATAGGAACGATTGTTCTACCCCGTCCTTAAGAAGATAGCTGCTGTTAGACAAGAATCCTAAACTCCTCATCAACAGTTTAGCTGTTGTGCGGTTCCGGAGTATGTATGTGAAGGCAGTGATAATTACTACTACTTCTTTAACACCTTTGGGAAAGGTACCAAATGTCATTTCATTAATTGTCACCATAGCTTTATAACGTAGACTTCCATCTGCATGGGAGGATTGAGACAAACAAAAAAGGACTGTGTAGGAAGGAGCACAGCACTTAAGAGCATGGACAAGTGCACTGAAACCCTGGTTTGGTTGACTCTAGTCTGTTGTCTCAGTAGCTGCTGGATAAATGTTGAATACACGGATAACTTAAAACTCCCTGGAAGAAGAGAAGTAACACAGGAACTATGGGAGCTGTGACGATCTACTTATGGAAGGATTTTCTGTTACCCACTTAGCCTGGAAAGGCAGAGCATATTCAGTGGTCAAGGATTGGAGCGTTGGCAGTCCGGGAGGTCATGGCAGAAAGCATCGGTTCAGTGCTTACTTAAGGACAGCCTCGTGGTCCTCCAGGAGCAGCACATCTAGAAAGGTGTCCCGGACCTGGTTTCCTTGAAGTTTGAGGGCTAGGATGCTCCGGCAAGCTTCCAGCCGCACACCTGGTGCTTCTTCATAGTGGATAGCCCAGAGCAGAAGATCTGTCAGCTGGGGACTCACTTGCCCAATCTGTCCCAAAGCTGTAGAGGTGAGAGGAAAAGTCTGTTCCACTGTCACTGAAGACTTAAGTTGACTATATCCTAGCATCCAGAAGGAATTTGAGTATTGCAGACAGTATCTTGGGGATGGCACTTAATCATTAGGAGTAAAATGAAAAGTATTTCTAGGTAGTGAAATTTAGAAAGGAAGTTGAGAGAGCTAACAAAGCTTTGCTCAGCATGTGTGAAGTTTGATGCCTAGCTTTGGGGCAGGGTCTTGCTGTGTAGCTCTGGCTGGCCTCACATTTGCAGTGATCCTCCTGCCTTTGCCTCTTGAGGGCTGTGATTACAGGTGTGTACCACCTGCCTGACTGCATTGAGATAGTTCTTCTAAAGGACTCCTAAGAGAAGTGGTTGATCTTGCCTAATGGAATATAAACATAGACTAGCTTGCCTATTCAGGAATAGATAGGGGGCAGATTTAACATGGAAGAGCAGTGTAGTTAAGGTAGACTGATGGGTGAGGGGGCGAGAACAATTAGTTCTCAGGATTACCTAGGTCTGGTCCTGCTAGGGCTGTACCAAAGACCATTTCAAAACGAGAAGCAGTGCAGAAGTTCTAGGAAAAAACCTGGAAAGAGCAAGTTTGAAGCTCTGTCTTGAACCTGGTTTGACTCTTACTAAATGCTATAGTTGAAATCTCCTGGGAAAGCAAGAAGTATACAACAATGAATATCTACTAGACACTTATCCTTAATTTTGTTGGTGGGGACTGTGTAGTCTGTTCTTTGCTTAACAAGTTTAAATAGACCTTGACTTAGGATCCTTAACTAAACATTTGAAAGAAAATCTCTTTCTTTCTCAGCCCAGACTTCTGAGAAGCTAAGACAGTCCCTTCCACTATACTCTAGCTGTCTCACTAAAGTTTCTAGGTATTTATTAGCATGAAGAGAGTATTTCAGGTCTAGGGCTTGGAGCTGTCATTTCTGAAATACCTCGAATGGCAAAAGCCTTGATTTTCCAGTAGGGATCTCTGTTCATCAGATTCAGGAGGCATTCAAGCACCTGTAATAGACAAGGAAATGTTGAGTGGGAAGAACCAGAGTAAGAATGGACCAGAAGGGGCTGGAGAGATGGCTCAGAGGTTAAGAGCACTGACTGCTCTTCCAGAGGTCCTGAGTTCAATTCCCAGCAACCACATGGTGGCTCACAACCATCAATAATGAAATCTGGTGCCCTCTTCTGACACATAGGCATACTATATACATAAGAAATAAATCTTTTTTTTTTTTTTTTTTTTTTTTTTAAATAATGTATTTATTTTTATTTTATGTGTGTTGATTGGTATTTTGCCCACATGTATGTTTATGTGGAGTTACAGACAGTTGTGAACTGCCATGTGGGTGCTGGGAATTGAACCCAGGTCCTCTGGAGGAACAGCCAGTGCTCTTAACCAGTGAGCCATCTCTCCAGCCCCGAAGAAATAAATCTTAAAAAAAAAAAAAAAAAAAAAGAATGGACCAGAAACAGGGTCCCCACTTATTTCTAGGGATGCTTTAACTAGAAAAGTAGCCTTCTGTCAATGCTAGTGACAAATGGGCTACAGCCTCAAGTGTAAGTAGCCGAATTGTCTACTCTTTGTGTATTTTTCTCAGCACACAGATCTATAGCCATAGATACACTAACTACATGCTCTACCACTGAACTACACCACTAGTCCCAGACCCCCTCCCCCCACACACTCATTTTTGAGACTATTACTGTGTAGCTTAGGTTGACTCTGATGCTTTCTAATGTGTTTGGTTGTTTTGCCTGCATGTGTCTGTCTATGCACCACATAGTAAGTGCCCTCAGAGGCCAGAAGGTGGCATTGGAGCCAGTCCTCTGGAAGAACAGTCAGTGTTCTTAACTGCTAAGCTAGTTCTCCAGCCCCTCACCTCAAATTCTGGAACCTTCTGCTTTATCTTCTAAATGCAAGGATCACACCGTGCTCCACTTGGACGTCTTTTGAATACCTCTGCCCAGTTTTCCCCTAATAACGAGTGTATAAACTCTACTCATTTGCATTAACCCTTAAGCCTCTCAGCGACCAGGTATTAGGAAGCTAGTTAACTGAGATGAGAACAGAGTTGAGAGGGTGGCATGCTCTGGCTTGAAGTTTGGGCTTGTTAGGCTAAATGCCGCTTACTGATTGATGTGGCCTGTGTCTCCTTTCACATTCCTGCCAGACTGCTCATCCCACGTTCCCACAGAATTATGGGTGTACCGTGCACAGCAGAGATAGTGACGCTCTCTTCGGGTCCATCAGATAAGATGACAACATGCCTTGACTTACCATCTTGTCACGGATCTGCAGGGCACCTGCTGCCAAACAAGCTGCCTGTCGAATTGTTATGAACTCATCAGAGAAGCAGTTCAGGAAGCTTGGGAGAAGCTTGGCTGTCATGACCTTGAGCACACGGATCAGGGAGAGGGCCTCAATCCGATCCTGGAAATTTCCTTGACTCAATTTAATCCTGTAAGATACAAGTGGCTTTTGTTTCCCTTAAACTTTTCTGTACCTTGTTCCCTTCCCCCATGCCCTTAGCAGAGAATTCTAGCTTTGTGGGCCCAGTTATATAGACATACTTTTTCCTAGTCAGCTTATAATCATTAAAATGTCACTGGGTTCAGACCTCGGTGTCTTATTTTCGTGAACTCCTATTACCGAGCATACGGTAGACATTTAGGTGTCTTGAAAGTGTCAAGCTGCATCTCCTCTTACAAACACAGTGTTCATTTGGCAGTTTCTCAATCTGGAATGACTGCATCTCCATGAACTTGGCCTTTCTACTCTAGCCCACACTGAGTATCCCATTTTTCTTTTCTTTTCTTTTTTTGGGGGGTTTTTCGAGACAGGGTTTCTCTGTGTAGTTTTGGTGCCTGTCTTGGAGCTCAACTCTGTAGCCCAGGCTGGCCTTCAACTCACAGAGATCTGCCTGGCTCTGCCTCCCGAGTGCTGGGATTAAGGGCGTGCCTGCTGCCACCACCACCACTTGGCTTCCCATTTTTCTATAGCAATTATGGTATATTTATCATTGTTCTAGTTTAGTATGTTTTGTTTGTTTGTTTGTTTTGGTTGTGGTTTTGTTTTTTTTGAGACAGGGTTTTTCTGTGTAGCTTTGCGCCTTTCCTGGAACTCGCTTTGAAGACCAGGCTGTCCTCGAACTCACAGAGATCCGCCTGCCTCTGCCTCCTGAGTGCTGGGATTAAAGGTGTGTGCCACCACCGCCCGGCGGTTTTTTTTGTTTTTTGTTTTTTTAAAATTAGGTATTTGTATATTGTGTTTGTGTTCTAAAAGATTGCCTCATACTTAGTGGACATCCAGTGTTTCTTGGCTAGCCATGGTGGTAGTTCCTGTAGGGACTGAACTTTCTGTAGTGGGATCTAGTACAATGCTGATCACACAGGGAGCTCACCACTGGCTGGATCCAGATCACCCAGGCACTTTTTTCTTTGTCTTTTTTTTTTTTTTTCTCTCAGAGCTGAGGACCGAACCCAGGGCCTTGCACTTGCTAGGCAGGCGCTCTACCACTGAGCTAAATCCCCAACCCCACCCAGGCACTCTTAAGAAAGGAAGAGCTTCTGAGCTCATGGTGACTGGGTCTTACCTGATCATGTCATGTACCTCTTTCCCAAGGTTCATTTGCCCCAGAGCTTTGGCAGCTGCTTGCCTTACTTCCTTGTTCCAGTCATTCCACATCAGATGGATTAATTTATGTTTCATATCCTATCAATAGGTATGATAATTGGCTAATTAATTTTGTACTTGATACCGGCTTTTTTCTATCCTTTAATCTCTCAATCCGGTTGGGCAGATGGTATTTCTATATACAGATGACACAATGGAGGCTTTGATTAGCTTGCCCAAGGATAATCTGGTAAGGGCTTATGCCTGGTCGCAGAACCCAGGACTGTTCCCCAAACTCGTCTCTTCCTGCATCATGTTGGCACCAACATAGTGAGTGTGAGAGACTTGAAATTTGAAAGTATTGAGTACCTCATCATTCCAGATTGCATGAGACTGTGTGTTTAGTACTGAAAGTCCATGTATGTACAAACCAGGATAGTTGGTCACCCTATCAGGATACTTTTCTCTTGTTGGAAAGGAAAACATTACTGCAGTTGTGGTGATGATGGTGTGTGTAACTATGTGTAAACTAGTTTCCCAGCCGAAACACCTGTTTGCTTACTGAATGAGTCAAATAACTCAGGCACAGTACCCTTTTAAATTCCTGCAGTTTATCATGAAGTTCTCATCATCTTTAACTTGTTCACATCTAGTGTTTTAGCAGCAGGAAATGATAACATGTGTTCTCAGACCTCTTCAGGTTATTGTGCCGAATGACCAGATGGTGTGTTTTCTTTAACAAAATGTGAGGGCTAAGAATGGAAGGCACCCACTTGTAAGCAGGAATAGCTGTGTTATGGGCTGTCCTGACTGTACCCAGTGTGATAAAAAGATGGGGCAGCACTAGGACTAAGCACTCGGATAGCTCACTGGAGTGTAATAGTAAAAAGAGGTTCAGGTTTCACTTGCTCAGAACTTCTTCAATTGTAGCCAAGTTCCACACCTTCAGGTTGTTCAACCACTTACATTCAGTACATGCCAGTCTCCTGAAAGTCTCAAGAGAGCACCTTATATTCACTCTGGTCTTAAGTTGAAGCCTGTGTAAAAAAGCTATGAACTGGCTGTGAACTGTGCATGGGGCAGAGTGCAGAATGTTCTTCCCACAGGTAGCCTTCTAGAAGGAATTGTATAAACTCTAAGTGGATGCACTTGAAAGCAAGGGCATGAAGGGAATG